CAGCCAGCAGGAAGTTCGCGAGGACCTACTAGGGTATGTGCCAGTGCTGAGAGAGTGGCAAAAGAAGTACAGTAAACCCTCGAGCTTGGGGACCTAGATTTAATGCACTTCAGATTCAATGGACAACATTTTCAGTCTGTATGTCATATATGAAAAGAAACACACTGCTAATTTTTAAATGCTTTTAGCCAAGATTTGTTTACAATGAAATTACAGATTTTTGTTATGAATGCAGTTATTTTTAACAAATTTTTGTGAATAGGCCATATGTAAAAAAAAAACAAAAACAAAACAAAAACAAAAAAAACACTTTAGTCATTACACCAACAGAAAGAAATATTACATTCCTACAGCTATCGGCTACTTATTTAAATCCAAGAGTCACCGCTCAGAAACAGCATTCAGTGAGTGCTTAGCACAAGATCACACCGCATCCGCTAGGGCAATGGTCGGCAAACTCATTAGTCCACAGAGCCAAATATCAACAGTACAACGATTGACATTTCTTTTGAGAGCCAAAATCCAATTTCTGCGCGTGGACCACGAAGTTTCAATCGCACTGTACGTGCACGCCTGCACGTGGTATTTTGTGGAAGAGCCACACTCAAAGAGCTGCATGTGGCTCTAGAGCCGGTTTGTCAACCACAGTGCTAGGGAATTGGTTTTGTGTCGGTGGCATGACTCTCTGCAGCAGTTTTAATGCCGCCAGCATATGTTCCCACGTGCACGAAGCCACGCTTCAGCCTGTGCATTTGTTTACTTGGGTGAATGGTGCATGCACGCATTTACTAAACATATTCAGTGTAAATTTAAAATTGCATTAATCCATATAGAAAACTCTTCTGTGAAATTAAACTTTTCACACATTCTTAATTTGAATTACACAAATATGTCTACATACGTAAAAATAGGTAAATTAACTAATTTGTCAAATTTTTAATATACGCATTTGGAAAACCTACTTTATTACCCAAATTAGTTCATTATATCAAGGTTTCAGTCTAAAGAGATGGTCTCTGGCCCCCAAGAATCTAGCACATTGGTCAGCAAACTCATTAGTCAAGAGAGCCAAATATCAACAGTACAACGGTTGAAGTTTCTTTTGAGAGCCAAATTTTTTAAATTTAAACTATATAGGTAGGTACATTGTTATGAACTTAATTAGGGTGCTCCTAAGCTGGCCTCTGCTAAAAACTCAAGGGGCCAAAGAGCCGCATATGGCTCGAGAGCCGCAGTTTGCTGACCACTGACATAGCAGCCAGTTGGGGGATTGAGGCGAGTGGCAAGTTAACATTTATCTCCACACGCTGAGTCGCAGTCACTGCTCTGGGTTTATCAGAACAAGGCTGTGCAGTCTGCAGCTGAGGAAAGTGAGGCTCTGGAGGTGTGAGCAGCCTCTCTGGGGCCACAGAGTCAGGAGGTGGTGGACCTAGAATTTGAATTCATCTGTCTGGCTTCAACAGCCTTCACCAAAAATGGCCTCCACAGCAAAGATCATGTCACAGCTCAGGTTCTAGGAGGTATGACATAAACCCAGGTGCTGCTGGGTTCCAGGTAAAGGGGGAATTGGGAAGTAGAACGGCCAGGCAATGGGACACGGAGGCAGTAAGACTGGCCTGGAGGACAAGGCTGGGCAGGCCAGGTAGACAGCTGGAAGGCACAGCAGGGGAAGAGGAGGGAAAAGGGCACTGGGGGGTAGGAATGGGCAGGTGTTTTCTCAACACCAAATTAGGGGGTCAGGTGAGATAAGCAGGATAGTTCTTTTAAAGTTAAAAAAGCCTGTGGTTCTGTACCTTAAATACTCCAGCAGATTCGTATCACTTTGTATCTAAAGACTAAGAGAAAAGTGAAGACCTATGAAATCTCTTTCAGACTATGGCCAGGTTGCCTCTCACATCTGGCTAGACTGGCAGAAGCTGGTCATAGGACAAGGGGTAGCAGATAACTTTCATCTTCCTAAGACCCCGAAAAAGAAAGAGAGGAGAGGGGTTTGGGGGACTGGGTGAAAGAGGTGAAGGGATTAAGAGGCACAAATTGGCAGTTACAAACTAGTCATGGGGATGTAAAGTACAGGATAGGGACTATAGTTACTAATCCTGTGTAATAAAAGGGTAATATGCAAATCATCCCCTCCACCGAGAATTGGACCAGGGGGCAGGGCCAGCCAGCCTGAGGACTCTCCCCCGCCCCCCAGCCTGCCTGGCCCTATCTGAGGTAACACTTTGTAGAGGATGCGGTCTTCTAACCATGATGCTGCACACCTGAAACCAATAGAAAATAATATTGAAAGTAAAATAATTTGAATTTTTTTAAATTTAGAAGTCAAAAAATAAAAATAAAAAGGTGAAGAAAGAGCAGGCTGGAGTGTTATATCCTCAGTAATGCACCCCGGTCATTGTTAGCTTACAGGAGTGGCTGGTGGCAGCACTGTCAGCGGCCCCAGGAGAAAGGCTCAGTTGGCAGGTGTTACTGATGCAGTTTTGTCATCCGCTATTTTCTGGTTTGAGAGGCACCACTTTGTTTGTTTTATTTATTTTTATCTCAAATGAAATTTGAGAGACATCATGTTTTAACATGATTTAAATAGTTAGTGTTTGTTCTTAAATTAACTATAGTTTTAGAAGGTCCCCAAATACATGAGGGAAAGCGAAAGAGGAAATAGTCTCAAAATAGGAAGGGCTACTATAAGAATTTGCAGGACAGCTCCGTGGGCTCAGGAGGCATGGTGGTGCGTGGGCTGCTGCCTCTGTTTCTTATCATGGGATTTAGGAGGTTTCTCCACAGGTCCCTGGTGTTGGCAACATAAGCCCTGAATAATCAATCTCCTACTCATTCAATACCACACACACACACACACACACACACACACACACACACACACCTGCATGCATAGAGGGTTCTCAGCAATCGTAAGCCATTCAGAGTAGTCCTTCAGAGTAGAGCCGCTCACAGAGCAACTCCAGCCTCAGAAGTGAGCCCACGCTCAAGTTTCATGCTTTATCTAAAGTCAGGCATTTTACTGCAACTTTCTGTTTGTCCCCTAGCTTTTTCATCAAGTCTTCTGACTGTGCTGACGTTGGTATCTGGGAGGGTTAAAACGTATTTAATTTGGGGAAGAGAATCTATAATCAAGATGTTTTCAAAGCCAGTTCAATGAGATTCCTTGGGATGACTTGCTGTCTGAAAGACCTAGGAAGAAAAAGAGAGCCAGACCGGTTTAGCTCAGTGGATAGAGCATCAACCTGTGGACTGAAGGGTCCCAGGTTCGATTCTGGTCAAGGGCATGTACCTTGGTTGCAGGCACATCCCCTGTGTGTGTGTGTGGGGGGGGGGGGAGGTTGCAGGAGGCAGCTGATCAATATTTCTCTCTCATCAATGTTTCTAACTCTCTATCCCTCTCCCTTCCTCTCCTTAAAAAAATCAATAAAATATATTTTTAAAAAGAGAGAGAGAGAGAGAATCTTTTCAAAATCAGGAGGCAACTTTTGGGTAGTTGTCAGGTGGAAGGGCCACGTGGATCTCAGTGGAATGCCTTTTCTCAACTCGTTGAGACTCCAGTCTGTATCTTTAATCAACTCTGTAGACACCTGAGTTGTTCATTTGCTATCTAACTATTCCTTCCTTTCAAGTTCTTCCCAACAAACTCATCACATGTGCAGCAGCAGGCTCATCCCACAATCCTCCTGAGAAGTTACACTTGCACATTAATGTTAGCACCTGGTAGTATACTACTTAGAACCTTAACGCTATTGCTTTATGTAGAACCCCATGCTTCAAGTCGGCCCCCACGGTTCATTACCTCGGGGTAACTTACCCAAGCCCATAATTCTCTTTGACACCCCAAGAGATCTCTCTTCAATATGCTGCCATGTTCCAACACCTGGACCAAGCTCTAGTTCCTGGGTATCTCCACACCGGCTTTCTTATCCACAAGGATGGGAATAATGAGAGTAGGATTGTTGTGAGGATTAAATAATTAATACAGATGATTTACTAAAAGAAGTGTCTGACCTGTTGTAAATGCTCAGAATATTCTGTTATTTAATTGAGCTAAATGTCTTGTTTACTGAAGCAACGAGTCTCAATCACTATTTTCCAAAATGCTGCTTCCAGTTCAGAAGATTTGATAACATGGGTAAAGGAGAAAAAGCAATAAAACTTGAGTCTGCCAAAACCAGTTTGGCTCAGTGGTAGAGCGTCGGTCTGTGGACTGAAAGGTCCCAGGTTCGATTCTGGTCAAGGGCATGTACATTGGTTGCAGGCACATTTCCGGTAGGGGGTGTGCAAGAGGCAACTGGTCGATGTTTCTCTCTCATCTACGTTTCTAGCTCTTTATCTCTCTCCCTTCCGCTCTGTAAAAAAATCAATAAAATATATTTTTTTAAAAAAACTTGACTCTGTGATTTTGAACCTGGGTGATAGGAGCAAATATTAAACATGGGGATGTCGGGCCTAGTGGGTTCAATACAGTTATTTGCATGGATGGACAATAAAAGCACTAGTATGTTTCTTTAAAAAAAACAAAAAACAAAAACAAAAACAAAAACACATAGGTCTTTCTCCTCTCAGAATAATCATGAGAATGAGGACAACACATGGAGCTGCCATGTTCTCTTTACCAAAATGGATACAGCCACATTCGAGATTTTAAAATAGAGAAACGGGCCAGAAAGGTTGACTTAAGAGAAATGAAGATAAGTTTGATTTTAGACATGGGATGTGGTGATGGAAGTAGAAATAACGCATTAGAGTAGGAAAAAAATCTTTACAGAAACTAGGACTGTGAAAGCCAAATATGGTAAGAGAAATGAGGGTAAGAAAGCCGATGTGGAAATCTTCCACGGCCTAACGCTGATCTCGAAAACGCAGAAAACAGACGTCTTCCTTGAGAGAAAACATGGAAAAAGAGCGTGAGGCTCGTGTTCACCCTCCCCATGCCTGTGCAGGATGTCCTCACACTCACAGCACATCTGAGACCGCCCTTTGCCTTTTTTTTTCAGTACCAAGACAATGGGGACTGCATGTTGGGCTGCTCTTAGGAGGCATCATTGGTGTCATCCTGATTGGCCAAGTGGTAATACTTCTGTTCAGAAGAAGAGGTAGGTGTCTAACAATAAAGAGATGCTTATCGTAGTCTCTGTGGTAAGCGAGGGACCTCTCACTTCCTGCACCAACTTGCTCTCTTCAATTTAGCTTTCCTCAGGGAGCAACTTTGAGAAAACACTGAGCAAACAGATCCTGGGACCTTGTTCCATTCAGTCTAATTCAAAATGTGCCAATCCCCTATACTAGCCTACGGGGATAAAAAGAGACATGAGCTTGAGGTATCTAACACGGGAAACGGTATACACCGTTAGTTTTAATTCAATATGACAAATACTGCTGAAGGGGGTCCTGACCAGAGTTTTAATAGGAGCAGAATTCAGAGGATTCTTGGATCTCATTCAAGAAAAGTTGTAATTGTTGACCAATAAAAGGACATTATAATATGTTTTTTGCTCACGAATGGAAATCTTTCTATAATTTCTCTTTATTCTTATGATAGCCCTCTGAGAGAAGTAGGATGACTGTTTCTATGTGACTTAGCAATGGGCTCACAGAGGCACAGAGAGGCCAAGTGACTTGTCCAAGGTCACTCTGCTGGGTGGCAAGGAAATGAGAACTGTAACTGTGTCTCCCAGCCACCAGGGTGCATTCCTCTGGGAAGGCCCACGGGTCATCAGAAAACAGCAAAAGGATCACTCTTTACTAAGATTTTTGCACAAATCCCGACTCACCTTGGGAAAGTGTGTAATTTGTGAGATTGCTTAATACCAAACTAAATAACATAGAAAGTCACCCAGGGTAGACTAACACCATGAAGGCCCAATGATTTCCTTGCATTTCCTTTCTCCTGCCTTCTCCTCCAACAGTCCTATGATTCAGTGTCTCGGGGCAGTGTGCTCCCCTCCACCACACTTTCCTCATCCACCCACACGAGGGCCCCAAGACCCGCCCGGCCTCCTCATGGTGAGGAGAGAACATATCTTTATGCCATCAAGCTGACAGCTGAGCTCATTCGCCAGTAGATCTATCTTGCCCACATGTAGCCTTTTCGGAAAAAAACCCTTACCTCAGCACTCTGGTGTTGGTTTTGCTTATATAAGAAAATCTAGATCACCACATAGCCACCTACTTTGTCTCATTTCCTCCATCTAAGAGTTCGCTGGGGAAAGGGTGGGGGGAGGGGTAATTCAGATAGAACCCATGAGGACAGACTATGAGCATGAGGCCGGGTGACCACACTTGGCTTGGATGATAAGGAAACAGTGAGATACCATGGTTGAGATAAACAAATTAACACACCCACGTTAACCTCGTTAGTGAGGGTGCTGGGAGTCTCACCCACATTTTTTCCTCACTACATCCTACTCCTCATGTAGTTGTGCTCTGCAGGGACTAGTATGCTTCATCCCACAACAATTTCCTACCACCATCCCCAACACACACATCCGTCCTCCTAGCCGGTCACTATGTACTCCTTGTCAGTCAGGAACACAAAAACCCTGTCTCAAACCTGTGAGAAAACCTGTTCTTAATATCTGTCCCCTCCAGAAACTCTGCTCAAGACATCCTGTTGGCAGTTTCTAATGCTGCTGTCTGCAGAATGCAGCTGGACGTTGAAGGTTTCCCAGTGGACTCTGGCAACTTCATATCCAGAATACACTGATCGAGAACACGGGCTTTGATGTTAGACAAACTTACATTCGAATGCAGACAGACCAAGGCACTGACCAAGCAAATGATTTACCCTCCCCTCTGGAAAATGAGAATAGTATTATGTACTTCATGGTATTGTCATGGGAATGCATGAGTTCATACACAGAAATCATAGGATACAGTGTCTTCTATGGATAGTTGTCAGAGACATAGATAGAGAGAGAGAGAGAGAGAGAGAGAGAGAGAGAGAGAGAGAGAGAGAGAGAGAGAGAGAGAGAGAGAGACATAGCGCTTAATGTAGTGAGTTAAAACATCAATATTGAAGTCTATGGCCAGCAGAGGGCAGCACAGGAAGCATTTGGGAGCAGTACCTTGTTTTAAAGATTTAAAATATTTGAAGTCATGGTAGCTTTCTGCTTCAGTGAGAGCTGAAAAGGACATTAGACAGTCTACATCTTCATTGTAAAGAAGAGACCCAGTTAGCTGACATGTTTTGTTCAATGACACGCAGCTGATGAGGGCTAGAATGGAGATGCTGTAATCCTAAGGCCTTTTTCATGAGACCCAAAGGCTTCACTGATTTTGAGCAGAATCAAGCTGGCTCCTGGAAACTTGTTCTTACACTGGGAACAAACTAGGAGACTGAATGATCTTGGTCCGGTGGTCTTTTTGAGAAACAACGTTCAACCTTACTTCTTCCATCTGACCATTTAGGACTGTCCCCCACAACTCTTCAGCCTGAGCTGAGCTGTAAGACTGAAAGTCCTTAAACACTGGGGTCTGTTTTCTATTTGTTCTCCTACAGCACCTAGGACAGCGCTAGGCGGGCACTTCTAGCTTTGCAAACACTCATAGATTTGAACTGAAAGGATATATATATTAGAACTGACTTGCACCTCTTCTGTTACTGCCTCTGATCACCTCAACCCCTATCCTCCATTCTGCATACATGTGCATGCAAACACACACACACACACACACACACACACACACACACAAACACACACACGGTCCTTAGCCACTGTCAACCCTGACCAAAAAAGTGAAGCTGGAGCCACCAAGCACTCCATGCCCAGGCCCACACAAGAAAATCACACATTGACATTCCTTCAATTCTTTGAGCTTCTCCAGTTGGCTTCCCATCATTTCCTCCCCAAGGATCACACCCTCTCTCTCTTCCAAAGAAAAGTATACCTTTCCTAAGTGGAGTTCCCTCAGAGACATGCTCCTAGATCTTTAAGACAATAAATTAGTTGGTGTTCAAATGAGAGTACCCTAAAAAATTAAGTGTACCCTAAAGATTTTGTGTCCTTTCCTCTGGGTCAGGTCTCCATAGCCTCTGCCAAATAGGCCTCCACATGTTAGTGTGTTACTTTCCTCCATCCCTCTCACTGCTACATGAGGCTTGCAAAGTCTGCCATGAAACATTAGAAAAAACGAGGTAGGTGGGAAATACCCTCAACACACTGTGTGTGAAAAGCTTAAGAAAAGCGTGTATGGAATGACCCTATTTGCATCCAAAATATCTATATAAATACAGCAAATGTCTAGGACTGCACTGTCCTAGGTAGTCACTAGCCACGTGTGGCTTTTTAAATTTAAATTAGTTAGAATAAAATTGAATTTATAATTCAGGGCCTGGTTTGCATTAATCACAGTTCAAATGCTCAATAGCCACGTGTGGTTTGTGGCTACTGTATTAGACTGCAGACATGAAACATTTTCACCATCACAGGAAATTCTATTGCACAGAGCTGGTCCTGAAGAATATAAATGTAACTGTTAAAAGCGATTATTTCTGAGAATGAAATTGCACAGCTTAATGGGGTAGAGGGATACAATTTTTATTCTGTACCATTTGAAGTATATATTCTTATTGCTTTCAGAGAGGAAAGGAGGAGAGAGAGAGAGAGAGATAAGAACATCAATGGTGAGAGAGAATCATTGACCAGTTGCCTCCCGCATGCCCCCTACTGGGGATAGACCCTGAAACCCGGGCATGTGCCCTGACTGGGAATCCAACTGTGACCTCCTGGTTTATAGGTCGACATTCAACCACTGAGCCACGCTGGCAGGCTTACTCTATACAATTTTTATTTTTGTAAAGAGAATGGATTATTTCTATAATTTTAAAAAGTTGTAATATTGGTTAAAAATGAGAATTTTTTGCAACATTACTTTCCAGAAACCCTGGACTCTGAGCAAAATTTCCTATCGGTAGGCAATAGAATGGCATTATAACTTTATTTGCTAAGTAATCTCAGGTGGCCTATCCTTCTTCGAGTCCCTCCCCTTCACATATACATCAAGTCCCACTGAAACAGGGAGGCAAGAGAGCTGTGAGTGAAGCAGAAGGTTATGAGCTGAAAAATACACACAAAAAAAGGCATACATAACTCACCCTGCCCTTTAAAAACTTAGCATCCTAATAAAAAACCAGATACACACATCAAAAAATAAAGATTAAAATAATTTATGACACTTACCGTGAATTGGGAATTTACTATTTGCCAACCCCTACTCAACCCTTCACAAGTCATGGCGCATGTTATCATCACAACAGCCCTGTGAGACAGGTGTTTCAACCCATTTCACAGACAGGAAAATCGGCCCAGGGAGTTCAAGTAACTAACCTGATGTCAAATGACAGGTGTGCAGGGGTTGGGAAGGGTGGGGGACTCAGTGCTTTGTTCTGTGGTGCTCTTAGGGAAATTGGTACCCAATGGGGGGCGGCGGGGGAGGTTCATGCTGGGGACCAGGGGGAGATAACTCTATGGTCTCTTTTCTCCAGGTCACACAGACCATTACAAGCCAACAGTGGAAGCAAAAAACCTTACCATCTATGCCCAAGTCCAGAAATCAGGTGTAAGTCCTACACTTTCTTTTTCTGGGGTGTTTCCTATGGCTTCCTGCCAGTTGGCCATGCATTTCTGACATTCCCGCTTCTCCATGGGTTCTGAAGCAGGGGAAGTTAAGGGAGCAGAAGTCAAGAGCAAGGGCGCTCTGAAAGGATATTAGCTTCAGTGTCAGATGGGACTATTTGTTAGAGAAATAACGGAAAATACCGGGTAATCTTCTGGTCATCTGTTTCTTCACAGGGGGGGGAAAAAAAAAAAGGAAGTTAGAAAGACATGACATGTTACTCCTTCCAGCTCTCACGCATTCTAGGAGTCTACCATTCCAGGCTAGGAAACTCTCTCCTTCTCTAGGGAAAAAGGTGCAGGCGTGAGGAGAGTGGAAAAGGTTTAGGGAAGCAATTGTGTGACAGGTTGGTCTGGTCCACGTTTAGAAGTTTACAAAGTGCCAAAGTGCCAAGGAAGGGAGACCTTGAGGATTCTGGCTGGACGGTGTTGAAGAGCTGGAAGATGATACATAGACTGAAAATAAAAGAAAGCAAAACTGTGATTGTTGGACTGAGACAGCAGAGAGGGATAAAGAAATTTGAATTATGATGATGCTTAGATGTCAAGAGGGGGATTAGAGGGATTATGATTAGCTATTATGATACTATAGTTTTTCAGACATGAAAACAGTTCTAGGTGATAAGCCAGTATCTGGCCATTCAGAGTTTACCAGAAAGCAAATTCTGGAGTAAGGGATATAAAGGCAATGAGGTATTTGATGTTGGGAAATTGCATCAGATGACAATAAATGCATTTCTGATAACCAGAGAAGAACTTTTAGACAAAACTCTTATTTTGCTGTCCTCTAGTGTCTGGGAGGGTTTATTACACAAGCCATGACAACCACTGAGAACCATTTTCCACCTACCTAATCTATCTGCTACCTAATAAAAGAATAACTTGTTAATTGACTGTATCTTTGCGACACTCACCAGCCAATCAGGAGATAGTATGCAAATTAACCCAACAAAGATGATAGGTTAATTTGCATACACGGGCACCAAGTGGACAGGGATGGGGCAGGACACCATGGCGACGATGTAGGTGTTTCACACCACTCCAGCTACTCCTGGCCTCTGGGCAGCATGGGAAGGCGGAAAGGTGGCTCTGGGCTGGAGTGAAAAGGCGGCTTCTGCCAGAGCAAAGGCAGTGCCGGCAGCCAGGGGAAGGAAGGCCCATTCTTGCAAGAATTTTCTTGCATTGGGCCTCTTGAATAAGTATATTAGAGTCCCAAGAGTAACCTCTACTCTTACCTGAAGGTTCAGCTTTATCATGGTCCTTTCCTATCTATTCGATGCAGTAAGCACCCCTCTTTTTACTGTATAAAGTCTGGCTTAGATACCAAAAGTGCACAATATATGTGTCAGTTCAATGAGTTATTCCATCTCAATATCTAGTAAAGCAAATCTTCGTATCTTGTTTTTCTTTAAGAGTTTTTGACCATTTATATGTATTTTAGAATCAACTTCTCAAGTATCACAAAAAGGAAAAAAAATTCCTACCAGGATTGCATTGAATCTACAGATCTATTTGAGGAGAAATTATGTCTTGCAGTATTGAGTCTCCCTAAAACTATTACTCAGATAAAGGAACAGAACATTGGCAGCAACCTCCAGCCCTCCTGGTACCCCTCCCAATCATTAACTTCTCACTCCTCCCCGAAGATAGCACTCTCCTGACTTCTAAAACTATAATTTCATTTTCTCTCTTTTTTTCTTGATTTTATAAAAATGGAATCCTACAGTATCTTTTCTTTTGTTTGATTTCTTTTGTTCAACATTACCTTTATGATATTCATACATGTCTTTGAGCTTAGATATAATACATTCACTTTCCTTTTTTTATAGATGTCAATGCATGACTATACTAGTTTATTTATCCAGTTGACTACTGATAGACATTTGGATTATTTCCACTCTGAGGCTTCTATAAAAATGGCACTATGAACACTCAAACATATGTCCTTCTCTTGGTAAACATGTGCACATATTTTTGTATAGTATATACCTAGAAGTAGGATTGCTGAATCATAGAATATGCATATCTTCAAATTTACTAGATAAGGCCAAACTTTTTTTTTCAAAGTGGGTATAACAACTTACTTTTCTATCAGATACATTGAGCAGATGTTAAGAGGGATTATGATTAGCTATTATGATACTACTGGGGGGAAGGGGGTGTTGTCCCTCGGCCTGGTCGGCAGGAATAGAGCCAAAATCAGCTCTCGGAATCCCCCGAGGGGTCCTGGATTGCTAGAGGGCACAGGCCAGGCCAAGAGACACTACCAGTACATAATCAGGGTCAGGAGGGGGGCTCCAGGGTGTGTCCAGCCCATCTTGCCCAGTCTCAATCAGCTGGACCCCAGCAGCAAACTAACCTACCGGTCAGATTGTCTACTCCCTGTGGTCAGTGCGCTTCATAGTGACTGGTCAAAAGGTAGAATGAACTGTCGGACACTTAGCATATTAGGCTTTTATTATATAGGATAGTTATAAGAATTTCAGTTGCTATGCATTCTAATCAAAACTTGGTATTATTAGTCTTTCAAATTTTATTTATTCTGTTGGATGTGGATTTTTATTGTTTTATTTTGCATTCCCTCATTATAGGATGTATTTCCTTTTTTTATTCTCTGGAAATGTTTGTGTACTATTTATGTTATTTTTCTCCTTAAATATTTGGCAGGATTCATGAGTGAAGCCAGGGGTGTCTTTGAGAGGATATTTAAATTATATTTTTATTATTTAATTTGCCTATTAGATTAGTAATTAAACAAATTGGTTACCCTAGAAATAAGGAAATGCATCCTTGACTTATCAAAGTCTAATATTTATTTCTGGGCAATACTCTAACTCCACCTTTATTTTATTTTAACTCCATCTTCAATTTCACCTCTAGATTTATGTGCCTTTTTGGTCATTATTTTAATTTCATATATGTTTTAAACATATAAGACAATTATTATTGTTTTCAATGTGTATTTAGACTTACTCACATCTTTATAGTTTTTTTGTTCATATTTACAACGCCTATGTGATATTACATAACAACTGTGATACCATGGACAATTATCCACATTTATTAACATGGTCTTTGTTCTTATTTTTAATGGCTATTTAATACCTTCAGAAAGGCTATAATAACATAGAAAATTCTTTACCAAATAAATGTCTGCTGTCTACTAGGGACTCTTATAGGTCTTATCAGGGCTAGCACCTCGCACAGTCCCAGGGGATAGCATTCATAAAGAATGAGGGTATAATGCACCTGCAGTTCCTTGTAAATCATGCTTCCTGGAGTTGTGCCCTAACTGAAGGCTTCAAGATACAAAAAGGTACTCAGTTATTACATCCATGTTTAAAAGAATTCCCTAAGCCTAGATAAAAATCCTGACGTGAAATCTAACAACCTGATAACCATATTGTGTTGAAGTGACAAAACCATGTGTTTCCTATACTTTTTCCTTCTTTCTAAACTTTTTAATGAGATGTAAAAGCAACTCATATGCCTTCTCCTTCATGCCTCTAAGCCAGGTCATAGAAACGCCCTCCCAGGTAGTCAGATGGGCAAGGATTGCTTCTGTTGATAGTTTTACATCCTTCTTATGCATCTCATTATTGCAAGTAATTCTTCCTTAAATTCAAAACTTCTCCAAATTGTATGGGATCTTGAAAGTCATCTATTGGAACCAAGAAATTACTGCTTGAATTACTTTCTACAGCATTACTTTCAAAGTGTTGGCTATCTTCTTTTTACTAAAATATAGTCTCAGACCAAGCATTAGCAGCAGCACCTGGGACCTTGTTAGAAATGCAGAATCCCAGGCCCCGCCCCAAACCTTCTGAAATAGAATCAGCCTCCTAAGAAAATCCCTAAGTAGCCCTAGCCAGTTTGGCTCAGTGGATAGAGTGTCTGGCTGCAGACTGCCAGGTCCCAGGTTCAATTCTGGTCAAAAGCACATTCACCGAAACCGGTTTGGCACAGTGGATAGAGCGTCATCCTGCAGACTGAAAGGTCCCAGGTTCGATTCTGGTCAAGGGCATGTACCTTGGTTGCGGGCACATCCCCGGTAGGGGGTGTTCAAGAGGCAGCTGATCGATGTTTCTCTCTCATCGATGTTTCTAACTCTCTATCCCCCTCTTTCTTCCTTTCTGTAAAAAATCAATAAAATCTATTTTTTAAAAAGGGGGGGGGGGGGGGCACATGCCCAGGTTGTGGGCTCGATCCCCAGTAGAGGGCGTGCAGGAGGCAGCCATTCAATTATTCTCTCTCATCACTGATGTTTCTATCTCTCTCTCCCTCTCCCTTCCTCTCTGAAATCATTAAAAAAAAAAAAAAAAAATCCCCAGGTAAATCATAGGTACATTGAAGTATAAGAAGTCCTGAGCCACCCAGGCATTCTCAGTAGTGAGGGACTCACTGCCTCCCATTGCAATTCATCCCACACGTGAGCACCTTTTATTTTAGAAAAATCTTTATTACATTACACAAAAGATTTCCCTAAAATTCCAACCTGGGTTTAAACCTGAAGGACTCTACATTACAAACCCAATTTCTCTTTTACATGGCAGCTCAGCAAAAATACATGAAGAGAGAGATCATGTTCCACCTGGAAGCTTTTCTCCTTCAAGTAAACCTCTTCCAATTCCTAGGGTGGGACAGAGCCTCGGTGACAAGAGTCTAAGTCCTCTCCTATGAGAAACCATGTTCTTCGGTTTCGAGTCTTCCTCTGAATCAGGAAAAGTGGAGAGAAGCATCACTCTACACCAGAGGGCCCCACATCCTTGCTGGAAGGATGGCTTTACTGGCATAAAATACGTCATCTCCATCTTACAGGGTTGTGGTCACAAAGTACCCCCACCCTGACTTCATCCTAGTATTGTAGATTGTGACTGATCCAAAGTGACAACAGTGCTATTTTGTGAGAAATGCAAAGAAATATAGCTGATTTCTCAAGGAACTGATCGTCTATTTGGAGAAACAATGTTTAAATAGGAGTGTGTTAAATTCAGCCTGCAGTTAAGTGCCATCGTGTGTGGATTAGATTTTAAATAACCAAGGAATTGCCCTAACCGGTTTGGCTCGGTGGCTGGAGCATCGGCCTGCGGACTGCCCATTCTGGTCAAGGGCATGTACCTTGGTTGCGGGCACATCCCCAGTAGGGAGTGTGCAGAAGGCAGCTGATTGATGTTCCTCTCTCATCAATGTTTCTGACTCTCTATTCCTCTCCCTTCCTCTCTGTAAAAAAACAATAAAATATATTTTTAAATAAATAACTGAGGCATTTAGGTCAAGGAGAGGTCAGTATAAGTTGGGCAACCAGAGGAGAAGGGTCTGGTGGAAAGAGCATGCACTTCACAAGTGCTGGGTGGGACTCCTGGCTTCAGTGCTTCTTGCATTGTTAACCTGTAAAACGTGAGTGACAACAGTATTTAGCACACAGTGGTTGTGAGGCAAATGGAAAGACATGTGAAGAACTTTGTAAACTTTAACACGCATGTGGGTGGTTATTACGAAGTTCCATAGTTCATACGGGAAACAGAAGTAAGGAAAAGCCGTGTTGGAGTGTGGGGATGGCATGAAGTCTGCATGTGGGGGATGATATGAGCCAGGCTCAAATACCAGGAGAAGGCCTTCCCCTCAGGGGTCCCAGGAAGGGCCACGGACGTTGGTTCACTGTCAGGAAGGCCTCTCACACATCCGGGCAGCACAAATGATAAGTTATGCTGACGCATGAGGTTGTGAGCGCTAAGGTGTCACTGTGGGGTCCAAGCAAAGCCCCAAGAATTGAGTTCCAGGGAATTTGGGAGAGAATTTTCACCTGGGAAGGAGGCTGGACCAAATTATCCTAAGGAGTTTTCTAACTCAATGCTTTCTGATTCTGTGCATCTCAGTGGGGAATCACTCAAGGTAACTCCACTGATGAGAAATAACTTTGCCATCCGCTAACTTCCTGTTTTATCTGCTTCTCACTAGTCTGTTCAGAAGAAACCGGATCCCCTGCCTGCCCAGGACCCCTGCACCACCATCTACGTGGCAGCTGCAGAGCCTGCCCCAGAGCCCGCTCAGGTGAGGCATCTCTGCAGAGAGGGAAGCGGAGGGGCGGGAAGGGTGGGGCGCAGGCAGAACTGAAAGGAAACAGAGGCCCTGCAAGAAAGTAGCAAGGAGCCCTAACCGGTTTGGCTCAGTGGATAGAGCATCGGTCTGTGGACTGAAAGGTCCCAGGTTCAATTCCGGACAAGGTCAAGGGCATGTACCTTGGTTGCGGGCATATCCCCAGTCGGGGGTGTGCAGGAGGCATCTGATCTATGTTTCTCTCTCATCAATGTTTCTAACTCTCTGTCCCTCTCCCTTCCTCTCTGTAAAAAATCAATAAAATACTTAAAGAAAAGAAGAAGAAAGTAGCCAGGAGCAGTTGTGGCCTTGGTTGTGGGGCTTCTGGGAACCCCTCACAGCTGCTCACGGGGGTCACAGCTTCCTCTGCTCAGTGGTGTTTCTCAGAATCCACTGGTATCTTTGTTAAAAATGAAGATTCCAGGACTTTTCCACCCAGGATGCAGTTCGATCAGAATGCCTATGGCAAGCAACTGGCAGCTACACACCAAAAACAGCATCCCCCGGGGATCCAGACGCACCTTTAAGTTTGGGGATTGCTCCCTTGCCAGTTTGGCTCCCTTGCCAGTTCAGTCCACAGGCCGACTGAAGGGTCTCAGGTTCGATTCTGGCCAAGGGCACTCGCCTGGGTTGCGGGCTTGATCCCCAGTGGGGGGCATGCAGGAGGCAGCTGATCAATAATTCTCCCTCATCGTCGATGTTTCTATCTCTCTCTACCTCTTCTTTCCTCTCTGAAATCATAAAGAAATATATTTTTTTTAAAAAAAGTTTGGGTATTGCAGTCTGAGTCCAGGAGTTCTCACGTCCAACTGCGTAACGGAATCATTTGTAAAATGCCTGCATCTAGGCTCCATCCGGCCCTATTTAATCAGAATATTTAGGGGCTGAGCCCTGCTTAGGTCTGAAGCCTGGAAGAGCATGTGACGGGCAGCCCAGAATGGGCCTTACCCATCCCACCCCATCGCAGAATCAGCCTTGGGTTCATCCCACTTGACAGCATGCTCTCCTTTTACTAAATGGACAGAAATACATTCTGGGCTGGAATCTTGGCTCTGGCTGAGCTCTCTTAAATAAAGCATTTTAGGGGGCGGGTGAGGATTAAAAGGCCACAGAAAGGCCTACATTTACCCCTGTTCCTCGAAGCGCTCACTGTACACATCCTCTGACTTTAAAATCTTTTACAAAATCATCTAAATTTATAATGAAGTTTTCTGGGGAAAGAAAAACAGTGTATTTCATAGAAAAACCTCCTGACTTTTCCCACTTTTGTCTCTTTCTTTCTCAGATGCTTGAATCTCCTCTCTGCAAAAGTTCTTTGCCCCAAAGCCTCACCTCCTCTCCCTCCGTCTCTCCTGCCTGAACCACTAGCCCTTTGTAAAGCTCTGGAATTTGGGATTCTTTTAGCTTCTCCAAACTGTGCCCCATGAGAGCAAAACAAATGGTTTTCCTTATACACTGAGTGGCCAGACTGTTATGGTCTCTGAACGCATAATAATCTGGCCACTCAGTGTGTGTGTGTGTGTGTGTGTGTGTGTGTGTGTGTGTGTGTGAATTAGAGGCCCGGTGCATGAATTCATGCATGGGGGGCGGGGTGTCCAGCCAGCCTGACCAAGGGGAGAGGACATGGGCAATTGGCTGGCCTGCCTGCTGGTCGAACTCCCGGTTGAGGGGACAATTTGCATATTAGCCTTTTATTATATAGGATATATACCGAGTGGCCAGATTATTATGCGCTCAGAGATCATCGTCATCTGGCCACTCAGTGTATGTCAGAAGAAGGGAAGAGAGTGAGGAGGTGAGGATGCCAGGTTCTGGTCCATCTGGTCACAGGTCTCCCCGTCTCCTGACTCCTGAGGGCAGGCATCCGCTTGGAAGGAGCCATAGTCCACCTTGCGGACATGACAGGCAGCTGGGGCTGACTTTGACAGACAGGCCCTGAGCAAGTGTCTATGCTACAAGTTTTCTGAGGCCCCTCCCTTCTCCTAAGCCGTGCTGTGTCTATTCATTCCTGTGAAGCTAGAGCCCGTCCCCCCACTCACAGACGCCCTCTGTTTTGCCCCCAGAAACCAAGCTCCATCACGGTCTATGCCAGCGTGACACTTCCAGAGAGCTGACACCACAGCCCCGGGGTAGGGACTGGCGGAAGGAGCACGGAGGAGCCAAAAGAAACACTGAACTTGGCCCCAGGTCTCAAGTTCTCCCGATACTCTACAGACCAGCACTCCTCGGATCAACTGCCTGGGGATGTCGCCTCCACACCCACCAGCGACAGGAACAAGAAAGGGAAGTTTCCCACCCACTCAGTCTGCTCTGTGGGGCACAGGCCCAGGACAGCTTTCCGTCTCCGTGGTGCAGCAGACAGAATGGACGATGCAAACCCACGAGTCTAGACCTTCGGCGTCTTGCTCTTTGCCGGGAGTGGATAAGGAAAGCCACAGGCAGGAAGCCAGCGCGTAGAGCTCCTAGCTCAGGCAGCTGGCCACCACCGGAGCCTGGAACCCTTGCCACTCTGGCTGCCTGTGCTTGGTTCTGGGAGCCGCTGCGGGTCACCACGCAGGCCTGATCGAGGCCCGGTGCCTCAGGCTCTCTCTCTCTGGATGGGCCAGAGATCCTTATTATCTGTAAAACACTGTGACAGAAGAAGCTAGAGAGTCAATAAACTGAAAACATGGCTTTGGGGGTCTCCGAGCTTTGAATCATGGAATGAAAGTCACCTAAGATTCTTAAAAGTATAGTCTTAGGAGTGTGCAGATGGTGCTCAGATTTAAAGAAAAGTGGCAAGAATTTGGTGATGCTGTTACAGAGGAATCTGCGATCATCAAACTTCTTTTAGGGTGATTTTTCACTTCCCCAAATTACTTTTAAATTCTAGTTCTCTCTTTGCTCCATTGAGCAACAAACCTGGAGCTTCAAAGACTCATCAGCCTTATTCTGACCTCGTCCTACATGCGCGGCCTCCCATGACCAGGGTCTCCAGCAGGACCTTCCTAACCCCTGGCGCCGAATCTCTCCGGAAGTAGAAATTAACATATTTTAGCCCCACAGTTTCAAGGAATGGAATGCTTAATAAACTGCAGGCTGCAGACAGAGAGAGCTTTTCATAAAGTCCCGTTTTCTTCCTATTCTCTTGCTTTCAGACAGACAGTCCTTCCCCAATGGAAGCTCTTCCTTTCTGATATGTACTTGTCTGACAGTAAGAAAGCTCCAGCTGTCTTCCAACCATGGAGTGAGGATCACCAACTTCCCAGCTCAGAACTCTGAGATCCTATCACCTGGGACCTCCTCTGTTCAGTCCATTCATACTTTAGTTCTGTTGCGTGATGTAACCATTTGGTAATAGTTGTTCTTAGCTGTAATCAGCAGAAATGGATCTAGGTTTTGTTTTAAAATATTTTTATTAATGTCAGAGAGGAACGGAGAGGGAGAGAGAAAGAGATAGAAACATCAATGATGAGAGGGAATCCCTGATTGGCTGCCTTCCGGGCATGTGTCCTTGACTGGAATCAAACCCCGGGACCCTTCAATCCACAGGCCAACGCTCTACCCACTGAGCCAAACCAGCTAGGGCTGGATTTTATTTATTTATTTATTTATTTATTTATTTATTTATTAATGTAGAAAAGGATTCTACTGAAAAGATATTGCTAGGTGGGGGGTCTGTAAAACCATGCTTTGAAAGTGAGCAGGAAACAGGAAGACATAGGCTGTGGCGAGCATACTCAGCCCCAGGGCACCTTATATGCCATGCCAGGTTCAATGACCCTGGGGGGAGGTGGTGTGAAGGATTGAGAAAAGACAGACAAGAGAATGAAAGCTGAGTCTGGGTGGGACACTGCTTCTCTGATGGAGAGACAGCACCTAGGACTACCAGCCATGTCTTTATCTTATAGCAGATGCCACCAGGCAAAGTGAGGGCGTGGTCAAGATGTTTACAACATTCTCGTGGGTTTCAATCCCACTCAGCTACATGCACCTGAACTCTATCAAGCCCACGTCACTCAGGCACGTGGGCCACGTGTTCGGACCACAGGTTCAAGTTTACAACTACAGCTGTTGGCTTTAATTGTGCTGGGAGGGCCCTGTCCTCCAAGCTGGGACTTGCATGTTGTCATGAGAGGACTGTGCCCTCTCATCAGTCCGAGGCTTGAACCTGTGCAAACTCTGTAGCCGCTCCCCACAATCACAAACCCAGCTCAGGGATGGTAACGCTGAGCACCAGTTGCTCTGCCATTGTCCTCCAGCACTCGATCTGGGCTCCACCACCCCCTCCCTCCCTCCGCTGGATTGGAAACTCATTCTGCTGTTGGCACTGTCTGAACCAAAGTGACTGCTCCAGGGTCCTTAGTCATCTCTCCACCTCTATTTTCTAACTCAGAGTCTGAGACTGAGTGGCCCATCATAGGCCACTCACCCATGTTCTCTCCAGGGAGGCTGGGATTTCAATACCTGCCATTTTCTCCTGGCATAGTGGCAGGGGGCTCTGCCTCTTATGAGTCAGCAAATTCCCCAAACATAAGCAGTGGAATTCAGTGCTGGGCAGGGAATAAACGAGAAAAAATGTCCACTGTGTCTCCTTTGTCTCACCTTGGGCTGTCTGAGCACTCTCTCCTTTACAACTCAGCTCCCCCCCAGAAGCTCAGTTTTCAGCACTTGGGTTTTCCTGTGGCTGAATCCCACACGCTGGAAGGGCAGGCGCAAAGGGGGAAAGAAGGGGCTGATCCTCAAAGTTTCCTGTCTCAGGTCAAGACCTCCCTGGGGAGGGTGGCGGTGTCTTGGAGTCTTTTGTGCCATCCTTCACATGACCTTCGTGTGCAAGCTGGAGCATTCCTTTGCCTTGGGCTTAAAAAATAAATAAATAAAAGTAGCCGAAACTGGTTTGGCTCAGTGGATAGAGCGTCGGCCTGCGGACTGAAAGGTCCCAGGTTAGATTCCGGTCAAGGGCATGTACCTTGGTTGCAGGCACATCCCCAATGGGGCGTGTGCAGGAGGCAGCTGATCCATGTTTCTCTCTCATGGATGTTTCTAACTCTATCCCTCTCTCTTTCTCTCTGTAGGAAAAAAAAAAAGTAAAACTGATACTTTAGAGTCTGACTTCCCCATGATTCTTCTCTAATGTCTTTTTCTGAATGAGCACATCTGAATTCTGGAGAACTCAGGAGGAAAAGACTCATTTTCCGTCTTAAGGGACTGCTGTTCTGCAGTATGACCGGGCATGCTCTCAAGCCTCTTTAGGACACTTTCTCTCATTAGACCATCAGATGTGATTGGTAAAGGGTGCGAACGCTGACTGAGAAGCCACCCATGACAGTCAGTGACTTCTCTTCCTGCAGTTTCTGTTTCTACCTCCGGGAAACAAAGAAAACACAGACAGTTCATCAAGAAACTTGTACCCGTGTCTTGTGATACTGACAGGATTCATGGCATAGTGGGATGACAACACATGCTTCGTGGCCTGTGTCTCTGTAGCTGTAGCTGTGTAGTACCGAAGGCTTTGATTGGAGGAGCTGTGAGACGGTCCCTTTCCTAGGGGAGGTGCCCTCCCCACCAAAGTCAGGAGTCCCCTTCCACACGGACAAGAGAACTGTGTGGAAAGGATTGTTTCATGTTTTGTCACTGCCAGAGTAATTGCCTTGCTCAAACTTCTCCAAATGCCCCCTGTGGAGCAATACAAAGCAGGGTTTCTCAACTGTAGCAGTGTGGCCCTAACCCAGTGGTTGGCAAACTGTGGCTGGCGAGCCACATGTGGCTCTTTGACCCCTTGAGTTTTTAGCAAAGGCCAGCTTAGGAGTACCCTAATTAAGTTCATAACAATGTACCTACCTATATAGGTTAAGTTTAAAAAATCTGGCTCTCAAAAGAAATTTTCAATCATCGTACTGTTGATATTTGGCTCTGTTGACTAATGAGTTTGCTGACCACTGCCCTAACCGGTTTGGCTCAGTGGATAGAGCATTGGCCTGTGGACTCAAGGATCAGGTTGGATTCCTGTCAAGGGCATGTACCTTGGTTGTGGGCACATGCCCAGTGTGGAGTTTGCAGGAGGCAGCTGATGGATGTTTCTCTCTCATTGATGTTTCTAGCTCTCTATCCCTCTTCCTTCCTCTCTGCAAAAAATCAATTAAATATATGGGGGGGGGGGGAATATATGTAAACATTTTGGTCCAGATAATTGTTTTCATGGCTGCCCCGTGCATTGCATGATATTTAGCAGATGCCAGTAGCACTTCCCCTGTCCCCGATCAAGACAATCAAAAATGTCTCCAGCCATTGCCAAATGTTTCCTGGTGGGGAAAAGCTCCCCACTGACTGAGACTCACGAATCTAAAATCATACTGACTACCTAATGATCTTTGTGTAGACTAACTATACTTCTATATACCAACAAGTAGAGCTCTCAAAATCACAATTTTAAAAACATATATTTTTTTATAGATTTCAGAGAGGAAGGATGGGAGAGAGAGATAGAAACATCAATGATGAGAAAAAATCATTGATCAGCTGCCTCCTGCACGCCCCACACTAGGATCAATCCCACAACCCAGGCATGTGCTCTGACCGGGAATCAAACCGTGACTTCTTGTTTCATAGGTCAATGCTCAACCACTGAGCTACACTCACTGGGCCAAAAAAAACATTTTTTAAATCCACACCCGAAGATATGTATAGAGAGAGGAAGGGGAAAGGGAGAGTGAAAGAGACATGGATATGAGAGAGAGACGATGTTCCAACCAACTGAGCCACCTGGCCAAGGCCAAAAATCACATTTTGGGAAAGTGGCCACCTGGTCACGTAAGCATGGCTTACACCTGCCAACATTCCCAAGGTTACATAAATGTTAGAGTTGCCAGATAACTTTTAAAAAATATTGATGCCCAAACCCTACCTCAAACCCAAATGAAATCTTGGTTGAGATCTATGTAGAACCACCAACTTAGAGGCCCACCACTCTCTCACTCCCTGGGTAAGCATCCTGCAAGCCTCCCCTGAAATTCTCTCCCACGGCAGTTATGCATGTTCCATTGTGGAAAAGTTCTAAGTGGAAAGTTATCACCCTTTCTTCACAGAAAGGATTTTGTGAAGAATTTCATACAGCAACCACAAGAGGGCGATGTGGCAAAGCTACAGTCCACACCCACAACATGCATCCACAACACCACTTCTCTTGCAACTAAGAGATGGGAACTTAGGGCCATCTACCAGCCTAAATCACGGGCCGAATGGTTTACTGAACAGTCATAAACTGTCATTGTGATGGAAACGCAGCGGAGTGCAGTGATGACAGCGCGGTGCGGGCCACATTGCAAGGCCTGGCGGGACGGATTTGGCCCCCGGGCCTTGTGTTTGACACATGTGCCTTAGACATAAGGAGATCCAGTGTGGGTTGATGACAGGTTCTAATCAAAGTTAACTGCCATAAGTTTATTTTACAGAAGATGCCTAGTTCGACTCAATGTTTCACCCTTTCAACAAATAGTTACCACATTCCTACTACATATTAGAGCATGCCATTCAGTGGAGATACAAGGAATACAAGTAATTAAAATTTATATAATAGGTAGACAACCACATGATCTATTGGGGCTTGAATAACATTCCTGGCGGGTCCCAACACCCCATCCCTCACTCACTCTACCTCATGAGAAAGAGTGCATGAGCTGTTTTGTGAATTTGGG